GGGTTTTAAAGGTAGAAAAGCCAAATGGCTGCTCTCCGGGAGTTTAATTAATAAACCATGTGACTTGGCTGGATTAGATGTCGGCAGACTCCCTCATCGGCACCAATATTCCTAATGTAACAAGCCCGGTGTAGTTCTTCTGGCAAGAACTTGGTCACTTAAAACCAGTACAGCAGTAAAACATTTTACATGAGGTGGACAGTTTATTGCTTGGACGTGGAGCTGGGGTAATCCACAAAACCTTCTTGATTTGCGACTGCAGAGCAGGTACATGAATAGGCATGCTGCGGCTTGTTCGGTCTCACTCTTCTTCACAAGTTTATCCTCCTTAGGGCTCAGAGTCATTCACAGACCACCTTTTCTTCATCTGGAGTGTTAACAAGCTGTATAGAGCAGATCCTCGTACCCAGATTCTGCGATGGCCAAATTTAGAAAAGATTTTCTCATCAGTCCGGAACTTCTAAAGATGTGTTCTGTGTGGGCAAGGGCTTTCAATTATGGTGGCTTCAGGTGAATTTATGATGATGGAACTTTCAAGTGTCTGTATGATAAAGAGAAAGAGAGAAGTGTTTAGTCTGTGCATTACCAAGTCAAGTGGTTGCTTGACTCATGAAACAAACAAACTGAGACTGGACACTTGTAGATGCACAAGGGGGGCGACGGCTAAGCTGGGTTAGAACAGATCTAACCCAGGCATCTGAAAAATCAAGCCACTGTTGCAGTCCCCAATCTGCAGATGCTCTAATCAGGTCCCTTGAGCATGTTTACAGCCTGTTAGAGAAAATGCCCAGGGTCTCTGTGGCAGAATGAATGGCTGTAGTCAGCTCTTATCAGTCCAAAAGTTATGGCTGTGTAGTCCATATCTTTGGGTAAGCTTTCAAGTGGAGCGAAGTAGAGCTCGCTTTACACCCTGGGCTGTGTATCTGAACTGTGATCTTTTCCAAAACCTAAGTAGTTTTGTTGCTTAGACCTCCATGTATCAGACAATACAATAGAAATAGAGGTAGTCAGTAACTGAAAGTACATTTAAAATCCATGCGTCAAACAAAATGTCTGTGTTGACAGTCATGTGGCCTAAATCTTTTTTTTGCATCGTGGTGGAAATTTGGGGATTTCTTGGGACTGTTATAAAAGCATACATCTTTTATAACTTTACGAAAACAAGAATTTGGTGCAAATGTTTGAATTTATTTTGGACATTCTCTAATCCGCACCGTGTCAGAATTATACACGCATGCTCCAATATATAGATCAACCACCCCTATTAATATTAATGTCACGGCGAGTGAGACTGGAAACAACTAAACTACAGAGCAGAAACCTGGACAAGAATGAGAACGAGCAGAGGAGAAGGACAATGGACAGCAGGGAGAACACACGGGTGAGACATGGTGGATACACAGACGGACCAGCAACTACAAACACAGAAGACGCGACTTAAATACACACAGAGAAACACAGGGAGATTACACACAGGTGGGGAACACAGCTGAGAGTAATCAACAAGACGAGACAGAGGTAAAACTGAACACACACACTCACATGAGACTCAGACCTTCACAATAAAACAGGAACAAGAAACCATCACACAAAGACGCAGACTCAACACTGAGAGACAGACAGAAAAAACAATATTGTTATTATTGTTTTATAGTATTGTTCTGTTTGTTCTTATCCTCCTGCTGCTAAACTAATTGCCTTTGTGGGACAATAAAGAAATTGAATTGAAAATGACACATGGAACTAAACTAAACCTGCAAAAACATGACAACTCAAAATACTGGGTCAAACTGACCCAGAACCGTGACAATTAATGTAAATGTCCTTTAGCCAGTTGCACATCAACCAGGTGCTTTTCATAGCCAAGAACCGTCTTATGGTTGGATGCTTGAACCCTCTTCTTGGCTGAACTGGTAAAGAGTCATTCGTCTCAAATTCTGTAGAATTTTAGCTTTAAATATCACACATACTTTACATACTACATACTAACATTTTCAGTGGCCTTTCTTGCCATCAAAATAAACCTGGATCTGTAATTTGGGACCAGTGCATTAAAAAAAAA